GCCGTGATTATTTTAATCGCGGCTTCATTTCCCTCTGCCGATCTGGCTAATCTACATGCCTCCGTCGAAGGAGGCATGTAGTCTAGACACACCCTAGGATTTAACTTCCACTTTGTAAACAATGCCTCTGTCTATTTACTTTACTTTGTTGTTTAGTCATAGTGGTACTTTTTTGGTTCTCTTACTGTTTTTTAATTTGGAGCATATATTTAAGTTGAGCCTCTATTATAGTGTTTTTGAAAAGTTTCCGTGCAGCTTTCGGGGGTTTCACTTTTGGCACTGTGCCTTTTAATTTCTGTTTTACTAACTTTTTCTTTTTTGTGTAGTTCCCGTTTCTGAAATTAAATGCTACAGTGTTAGGCTGCTTTGGTGTTTTCCCCACCACAAGGATGTTGAATCTAATTAACATTAACAGGTGTGTAGTGAGCAAGACAGAGAAGTCATTTTTCCATTCTACTCTGCGCTGGTTAGGCCTCAGTTGGAGTACTGTGTCCAGTTCTGGGCACCGCATTTCAAGAAAGATGTGGAGAAGTTGGAGAGAGTCCAGAGAAGAGCAACAAGAATGATTAAAGGTCTAGAGAACATGACCTATGAAGGAAGGCTAAAATAATTGGGTTTGTTTAGTTTAGAAAAGAGAAGATTGAGGGGGGACATGATAGCCGTTTTCAGGTATCTAAAAGGGTGTCATAAAGAGGAGGGAGAAAACGTGTTCATCTTGGGCTCTGAGGATAGAACAAGAAGCAATGGGCTTAAACTGCAGCAAGGGAGGTTTAGGTTGGACATTAGGAAAAAGTTCCTAACTGTCAGGGTAGTCAAACACTGGAATAAATTGCCCAGGGAGGTTGTGGAATCCCCATCTCTGGAGATATTTAAGAGTAGGTTAGATAAATGTCTGTCAGGGATGGTCTAGACAGTATTTGTTCCTGCCATGGGGGCAGGGGACTGGACTCAATGACCTCTCGAGGTCCCTTCCAGTCCTAGGATTCTATGATTCTAATTATATTATGGTAATTATTACTAAATGGTCCAGCTATATTCACCTCTTAAACCAGATCCTGCCTCCACTTAGGACTAAATCAAGAATTGCCTCTCCTCTTGTGGGTTCTAAGACTTGCTGCTCCAAGAAGCAGTCATTTAAGTGTTAAGAAACTTTATCTCTTCATCTCACCCTGAGATGACATGTACCCTGTCAATATGGGTGTTGTTGAAATCCCCCATTATTACTGAGTTTGTTATTTTCATAGCCTCTCTAATCTCACTGGGGCATTTCACAGTTACTATCACAATCCTTGTCAGGAGGTCAGTAATATATCTCTACATCTATATTCTTATTATTAGAGCATGGAATTACTATTCATAGATATTCTATGGTACAGTTTGGTTCATTTAAGAGTTTTTACTTCATTTGATTCTATGCTTTCTTTCACATAGCGTGCCACTCACCCACAGCACAACCTGTTCTGTCCTTCTGATATATTTTGTACCTTGGTATAACTCAGTTCACCAAGGTTCTGTGATTCCTATTATATCAACAGCCTCATTCAGTATGAGGTGCTCATCAGTGAGGTTGCATGAAAGTGGATAAGGGAGTACTCACTCTGTCCCCAGCCTTACACCTTGTTGTGTCTTGGTGATGGTGGTGGTGCCTGGCCACAGAGCCCTGTGGACTCATCTAAGTAAGTTGACGATAGTATGGCAAGCAGTCATTTATCATTGCTTTTGCCAGTAAAAGAAATGGTGCATTTTCAGTGCACCAGTTGCAGATAACACAGTGAGGAGGACCATATGAGTACTGAGTCAGAGAGCCAGTGAAAGAGAAAGGCCTTTCGGAGCTCCATTGTCATCCACACCCTCTTGCTCTCTTCCCTTCTACTACACGCATGCGCGCACACAGAGATGTAGATGTTATTGTCTCATCCTTGCCTTTTGAAATGCTCTGGTCTATTTATAAACAAAATAGAATGGCAGCCTCTAGTGGCACATGCTGGGATAAACATTGCTTGTCTGCTAAACAGATTGTCCCTTTTTCCCTGGGTTGTCCCGAAAGGGGCATGAGACCAGGTCAACTCCCCTGCCTCAGGCACAGAGTCTGGGCAGCTCTCTCCAGACCCTGCCCCCACCACATCTTTTCCCGCCCCCAGCCCACCCCCATGCCACCCTCTCCCACGCCCCAGCTTGCTCTGCCCTCTCGTGTCTCCATTGTGCCCCTTCCCAGAAGTCCCTTCCCCCAAGCTCATAGACTTTAAGGTCAGAAGGGACCATTCTGATCATCTAGTCTGACCCCTACACAGTGCAGGCCACAGAATCTCACCCACCCCCTCCTAGAATAATCCTCTCACCTATGTCTCAGATATTGAAGCCTTCAAATACTTTGAAGGCCCCAAGATGCAGAGAATCCTCCAGCTGTGATCTGTACCCCATGCTACAGAGGAAGGGAAAAACCTCCAGGGCCTCTGCCAATCTACCCTGGACGAAAATTCCTTCCCGACCCCAAATATGGCGATCAGCTAAACCCTGAGTATGTGGGCAAGACTCACCAGCCAGACACCCAGAAAGCTCTCTATAGTAACTCCTATCATCCCTCCATTGACCTATTCATAAGCTATGTGACCTGGGGAATTACTGGGGGGACCTGGTGCGGGGTGGCTGAAGGGGTTGGACCCCCCCACACACACACACACTTAGCATGGCAGTGGAAACCAGAATGACATACCAGCCTGCTCCACTCTCCCACCCATTTCCCAGCTCACTATGCTCCACTTCACCTTAGAGGCAAGAAGCAGAGAGCCTCAGCCCCAGCCCAGCCTGCTCCCCTGAGTCCTGCATTGTTCGGGGGATCAGAGCGTGTCAGGGCAGGGGCTCTTCACTTCCTCCCACTGCCATGAAGCAGAGCACAGTGAGATGGGAGAGGGGAAGGGCGGGACAGAGCAAGCTGCTGTGTCAACCAGCTCCTGTTACTTTAATGAGTGCAGGGACCCCAACCCCTGTTGCTACACCATGCCAGGCCCCTCACATAATCCTCCAGGCTGTTGTGACCCCACAGGTCCCATCCATAGGACAGTTGAGGCAGCCACTGCAGGTCCCCCCCCAAAGCATGAGGCCTGGGGAAGCTTTCCTGAACCTTCCTATGGGTGGGATGGTTCTACATTCCCGCACCATCTGTGGAAACAGAACAAGGAATCAGGTATCCTCCCAGGAGATCTTGCACCATACAAGTCATGGTGGAAGCCCATTTCCTTTTGTTGGTGACAATGTAATGGCTTGCTTTTCAGGGCTGATGGGTCAAGTGACGGATGTGGCTGGAAAGGGACAGCAGGAAAAGATTCCTTCTTGATGGATGGGCCTCCTGCAATGAATGATAGTTTATGTAAGTTAAACTTTAACAACAACATATGGTCTGGTAGCACTTTATAGACTAACAAAACATTTAGACGGTATCATGAGCTTTCGTGGGCACTAGTCATCTGAAGAAGTGGGCTGTGCCCATGAAAGCTCATGACACCATCTACATGTTTTGTTAGTCTGTAAAGTGCTACCAGTCCATTTGTTGTTTTTTAAGTTTATCCTGTACAGACTAACTTGGCTACATAAGTTTATGTAAGGTCAGCGTCCCCTTTACCCTCTAAAGATACAGATCTTAGCTCATTTGCAGAATTTCCTTTTCAGCAGTCTAGGAACTACTTAGCTTTGTGGAAGGTGGTGGGTAAATGACCACCTACAGAAACTCAGTGTTATTTGATGTAGTGCAGCTGGAACGTTAGCACTCTAGCACTGTGGAGGCAAATCAGGGAATGGTGTGAATTGTCAGAGCACCTTTGAATTCAATTGACTGTAAATTGTCCACTTATCAGTCCCAGATGTGCATAGGTCCTAAAAAATCAGCGTTCTAAACCTGACATTCAGCTTTCTGCCTTAGTTTCCCCCTTCTGAGAAATGGAGATAACAACACACCTGTACCCCTCTGGTAGTGTTCCCTCTAAGCTGCATGGCAGCACAACTTCACAGGTGATTAATCAGCTTTGCCCAGTCAAAGGTTCAGGGCTCAGTGCAAGGAGTTGACTGACTGGGTGAGACTGATTAATCACTTGTGAAGCTGTGCTGCCACCCAGCTTTGAGGGAACACTGCTCTCTGGGTGGGTCATGGGTCTTATAAGTGCTGTGAAAATGAAACATACATGTTATTACTATGAAAGAGGAACAGTCGGATAAGTTATCTGTTGTATATTTCCATCAGTGAAGTGGGACGTTCTAGTTATTTCAGTTTTACAGGGGGAAACTGAGGCAGAGAACAGACTTGCTCAAGACCACAGTGAAGTGTTGGGATTGGGCCTCAGTGGTTCTAGGAATGTGCTCAGACCTCTAGATCACATTTCTCTCTCAGCTGTGGAAGGCAAGCTGTTGATCTAGATCACTCTCAGGTACATGGACTCATGTGCTGCCCTGATCTGCACCCTCTGCAATGTGAATGAAATTCAAATCAGTGCTTCGAGCCCACTGAGATGGGAGCCATAGGATAGCTAAGATAAGTCGCGCAATGTGTGAATCAGGGCAGGACTGTCCCCCCATATTCTAGGCTCTCAGCTATAGCTTTTACCTACAAGATCCTCCTCCCTGGAGCATCAGTTGCATAGTCAGCCCTTGTTTTAAACTAAGAGCTTCAGCAAGGTAGCTGCAGTCCTGGAGCATTAATAGCCCAGCTGTCCTTGAGGGGCCAGTCCACTGACTGACTCTGCCCCCTGGTTATGTCAGACCAGATGGATCAGTTAAGGCCATGGTCAGTGGGAATCTGGTGATGTAACACACATAGGCAGGGGGCAGGACAAAGTGAGATTCTTAAAGCTCTTCTAGACAGTTGGCCTGGCATCTCAGCTTTGCCTGGGTCTCCATGTACGTTGCAGGTATCTCCCTGTTCTAGCAGGTCTCCAGGCAGGCACCAGGAGAGAGAATTGCCCCCTAACCTCTCTGCATTGTGTTCCAGAGAGACTGTAGAAGATGTCGAACCACAGTACCGGTGACATCAAGCCCCCATGTTTACCCCGGAATGGACTGGTGAAGATCCCTACCCAGCCCAATGGACTTGGCTCTGCCAGCATCACCAAAGGGACACCAGCAGTGAAAAACCGGCTCTGCCAGCCTTCTTCTGTGCCTGCCATCATCAGCCCAGCCTTATCCAATCACAGTGACCTGCCCATAACCAGTCTGGCATCACCACTGTCCTTGGCAACTCTGGCTGGGGTGCCATCCCCTTCTGGCACCTCCATGGTGGGACTGACCTTGAGTGAGGCCTCCCCGACAAATGAGCACCCCTCCCCAGAGACGCTCCCTGGATCCCTTACGGAAAGGCAACTGGCTGTGGATGAGAAGATCCTCAATCGCTTGTTCTGGTACTTTTCAGCCTGTGAGAAATGTGTCCTGGCCCAAGTATGTAAGGTGTGGCGACGGGTCCTGTATCAGTCCAAGTTCTGGGTAGGCTTGACACCAGTGCTGCACACCAAAGAGCTCTACAACACTCTGGCTAGTGGTGAGAAGGAGTTTGTTAACCTACAAGGCTTTGCCATCCGTGGCTTTGACAGCTTCTGCCTGGTGGGGGTCTCAGACCTGGACATTTGTGAGTTCATTGACAATTACCCCCTGTCCAAGAAAGGGGTGAAGTCTATGAGCCTTAAGAGATCGACCATCACGGATGCAGGGCTTGAGGTAGGTTTCCTGTCCCTGGTCTGGCTACCGGGAATCAGAGATGCAGCTGAATGATGAAAGGCTCCTGTCCACTGCAGTCTAGCTACCTGGGGCAAGTCAGAGTTCTTCCTCATAGACGGTTTTCTAGTGCTCTCCAGTCTGATTTGAAATGTCTCAAAGAACAGTGCTCCCAGCACTTCCTGAACAGACTTTTGCACAACCCCATCAAACTCACTTCATTTGCCGTTGCTGAATTCCGTTCATAATCCTGCCTCTGTGCTCTGCATTCCATCCAATATTCCAGTTGCTCTCTAGTAAGCTGTGCCTGGTTATTCTGGGTCAGACATGCTACAGCTGGACTGTTGTTATTATAGAAGTAACAGGACCCCATTTTGGTAGGTGCTGTACAGACATAATGTCACTGTCCCAAAGACCTCAGACTCTCAGGCAAAAGACAGAAAAAGAAGGATTGTTATATCCATTGTACATACGGGCAGAGATTTTAAGTGAATTGACTTAGCACCTCTCTGTTTGCTGGTGTGAGACTCTGCCTAAGCTGCCCAGTCTCTCACTTGCCATAATGCAATGCAATGCAAGAGAAAATATACTCATTTAATTCTGTAGCCACAGTCCAGAGAGAATGCTTTGTATCCAAATATATTGGCTACAAATTACCATGATTCTTTCCTTCTTTCTTCAGAAGGCTGGGAGCTAGTTAAGTAGATCTGTATCAGCTAGTTAAACAGATTGCTTCCTTTTGGGAGTTGGAATGCTAGCCTCACTTGCCTGCCTGCTGGTAGCAGAAAAAGTGAGCACCTGAGGGCTGGGATCAAGCTGAGAGAGCCTGCATGGTGTGACATTAGCACTGGCCCCCAAGCAACTGAGTCAGCCTGAGTGGCTCACTGAGGACAGGGCATAGTCTCATGTATGTCTGCATTAGGGAGGCAAGCGAGGTCCCCATGATGATTCCCTTCTTTCTTCCCTGGGGGCAGGACTCAGCAGCCCTGGGGCTCACTTCCAACATTTTGCTTATCTTCCTACAAGCTCGTTCATCAGGGTCTTAGGCAAGCAATTGCAGGAGTAAGAAAGGAATTTTTTTCCTTCCAGTGTATGCTGAAGTAGAAAGTTGATCTTCCTCCAGCATCAAGACTGGCCACACTGGGCGGGGTGGTGGGGCTCTGGCTGGCTAGTTCTTGTGCATGTGCTCAGGGTTTAGCTGATTACTCTGTGTGTGGTTAGCAGGGAATTTCTGGCAGTACCTATGGGAGAGTCGCTTGCCAGGATTATCTGGTGCATTTCCCTTAATCATTTCTGTTATTCCAGTTTCCTGGAGCACTGGTACATGTCAGTCCCTCCTTTTCTGTGCCTGTGACACAGCTCACTTAAGGCTCCTGTGAGCTGTAATCCTTTGGGCTCAGTTCAGTTGGATTTAGTGTGCAGGTGCTGGGTGATGTCGGTTACCTAATGAACACAGTCGCAGTCATGACAGCTCTGATCCCTGGTCCCTTCTGGCCTTAAGCACTGTGGGTATGTCCTAATTCGAATTAGCTGGTAAACCTCATTGCAGGAGGAATACCAGCTAATTCGAGTTAGGGCTTTAAATAGGACTCCCATTTCACTGCAGCATGTAGACGCGGGCAGTTACTCCGGGCTAGTGAATTTCTAAAATGGCGACTGGCCGGGAACATGCAAATCAAGCGCGGGATATTTAAATCCCGGGTTTGATTTGCAACTTCGGTATTTGCAAACTTCATTTGCCTCCCTACTTCGAAGTAGGGGGCAAGTGTAAACATACCCTTAGGCTGTGGCTACATTGGCATGATTTTGCGCAAAAGCACCTGATTTTGCGCAAAAACATGCTGCCTGTCTACACTGGCGGGGAGTTCTTGCGCAAGAACACTGACGTTGTAATGTGTGAAATCAGTGCTTCTTGCACAAGAACTATGCTCCCACTCAGGAATAAGCCCTTTTGCGCGCAAGAGGCCAGTGTAGACAGGCAACATGAATTTCTTGCTCAAGAAAGATGGCTAAAATGACCATCTGAGCTTTCTTGCGCAAGAGAGCGTCTATAGTGGCACGGATGCTTTTGCGCAAAAGCACATGCCAGTGTAGACGCTCTCTTGCACAAATACTTTAATGCAAAAACTCTTGCGTTAAAAATATTTGCGCAAAATCTTGCCAATGTAGACGTAGCCTTAGACTTTGTCTACACTGCAGGGTTTTTGTGCAAGAAGCTTTTTGTGGAAGAGATCTTCCACAAAAATTTCTTGCACAAAAGCGTGTCCACACCTCAAAAGTGCATCACAAAAGTGATGTACTTTTGCACAAGAGAATATCCACACTGCATGGACGCTCTTGCGCAAGAAAGTTCTGATAGCCATTCTGTTAATGGCAATCAGAGCAACTATGCTTTTTCGGATAGCCTCTTTTTGCACAAGAAACCCCTGCGGAGCATCCACACTTGTCTTTTTACGCAAGAGCTATAGAGAGGAATGGAGAGAGGAATAACTCTACCCACAAAAGCCCTCTGTCTTGTCGATTTACTGTATTTGTGTGTGTGTGTGTGTGTGTGTGTGTGTGTGTGTGTGCAAAAACACACTTGAGATGTGGACGCTCTGCCGTTTTTTGTGCAAAACCGGCCGTTTTCGCACAAAAAAATCTTGTAGTGTAGACATAGCCTATGATTCCCCATCTTTTCCGCCACTTCCTTGATGCATTCCAAGCCAAATTTATCCCCAGGCACAACCCTTTGATAGGCAGAGTAAAGGCTCTTTATTCCATTGCCCTTTAAAATACTTTGGCCATAATAATATTGCTACTTAACTGCAGGACTTTTCAGCCACAGATTCCGAAACATTGTGCAAAGAAGGCAAGTAATACCTTCTATGAACTGAGACCTAGAAAGATTAAGTGACTTGCCCAGGAATCATCAAAAAGGCCAGGGTATGAACTTGGAATAGAACCCAGAGTTTTAGCCCAATTCTTGCACCAATGGAGCAGTTTTTCGATGTGCCTAGCCTGCCACTGTTTTGTCTTTTGCTTTTTACAGAACAATGATAATATAACAAAATCACAGGGCTACACTTGGATTCCAAATAACCATATACAAGCACACCAAGCCTAGCTATGTCCATCCTGCTGCTCTGGCTGGTTTCTAAAACAGAGCACAGTGAGCACCACAAGAAGGCTTACAACTATTTAAAGGGATACTATCCTCTTCCTATATACTGCTATTACACACACGAGGGCTACGTCTACACTGGCCCCTTCTTCGGAATAGCCATGCTAATTTAGAACTTTGGAATAGGGAAATGCGCGGGGGATTTAAATATCCCCCGCGAGATTTAAATAAACATGGCCGCCGCTTTTTTCCGGCTTGGGGAAAAGCCGGAAAAGAGCATCCAGACTAGCGCGATCCTCCGGAATAAAGCCCTATTCCGGAGGATCTCTTATTCCTACTTTCAAGTCTGGACGCTCTTTTCCGGCTTTTCCCCAAGCCGGAAAAAAGCGGCGGCCATGTTTATTTAAATCCCGCGGGGGATATTTAAATCCCCCGCGCATTTCCCTATTCTGACTTCTCTCATTTCCATAGCTATTACGGGTTATGTGGCCAGTGTAGACACAGCCGAGAGGTATAGCCTGGCCCCATTTTTCCCTTATCTTTCCAGTCAGCCCTCATCAATGCTTCATGAGCAGAAAGTCCACCCTCTTGTGTGTATCCATACTAGCAGAGCCTATCCTAGCTATGTGCTGGTAAAGCCCATTCCCATTCTTCCAACCTTTATCAGCTACAGGGCAGGGAATCACCACCACCCATCAGAAGGGTGTCAGGGTGGATTATAACTGGGTAGACCTTGGGATGTGAGTGCCATGCTTGAAAGAGTTCCCCAGATTTATAAGCCGGTACCCACTACTGATGGGTAGAGGCTGTCAGAGCAATGTGTAGGACACAAGAAGAGGAAGGAGGAGATTCTTTGGCTGCATCCTGGCTCCTTCAGGCTATGTCATGTAACTTATTGACTAACCTAAAGGGGAAGATACAGGTGGAAGTTGGACATTAATATGACAACTTCCTGGAGGTGCCAAAAAAGGCTCCTCTATCAGTCACATGGGACTGATTGCAGAGCAGAGATGGTGGGCCACATGAAGCAGAGTGTAGCCATTGGGCTAGATGGGAAGGTCAAAGTGTGACAAGGCCTCATGTCAGGTCTGTAGGCAGGCTGGAGAGAGATGATGCTCTGGCCTATGTGGTGGATGGGTAGTTTGTGGGTCAGAATGTAGAGTGTGGATAGGGATGGGGGTGAGCTAGAGCCTACATGGGAAGTGTGAATAAGGAGGATTGTGGCATCTAGATGAAGTGTGGGCAGGGACCTAGGAGCTGAAGAAATGTTATGTTGGAGGCTCAGTTGTGTACATCAAACATTTAGCTTTTATGCGTTGTTTTGAAGGCAACATACACCTGACAGCATACACCTCCATCCCCATGCTGTACAGCCAGGTCTAGGCTTGCTACTTCTTAGCTTATCCAGCTTGTCTCCTGCTTCAGTCAAGAGAACTAAAAAGATAAAAGGCCTTACTCTTGGTTAGCTGGCTTACCCCAAATCTCCTCCATTCTCTCTGCCTTTCTAATGCAGGTTGAACCTCTCTAGTCCAGCATTCTCTGGTCCAGCAACATCTGTGGTCCGGCATGAGTTTAGTTAATCAGATGCCCACTTTTCATGGGTGTTACCAAGTTTTCTGTGGCCCCATAAAGTTTGTTTTCAGCCACCAGTCCTGGCTCTCAGTGTTCTCTGCCATAACAGAGAGTTTTCATCTGGGGATTGTCTTAGCTTTTGTTACAGCAGCAGAGAATGCTGGGAATGCTCATATGCTCACAGCTACTTCTCAGACGGAGTGAGCTTTGTGACCATGTCGTCACTATGGGAACAAGAGTGGCATAGTTATGCCAGCATAACTCTGTGAGGTAGACAGGGATACAGGGCTACAGAGCTCACTGTAACTGAGCAACATTTGTGAGCATGGTGCATTTACCAACATACTCTCTCATTGTAACAAGCTTCAATTACAATGAGATAAAGGGAGCTGACAGCCTTGCTGTACACCTGGACAAGATGTTTCTAGAGGAAGGGGGTGTTTGGCACTACCCTCAGGTGGAAGGGGTGGAGAGGCAAGGGGGCGGGAGGGGGACGTTGTTGGAATGGAAGGGATTCTTTGCTGTAGAAACCCTATTTCCCTAAGCAATACTAGTTAGGTTGACAGAAACATTCCTCCATTCCACCAGGGTTTATGTCAGCATAGCTATCGCACTGAGATGTCAGTTTTTCATACCCTTGAGTGCCATAGCTATATTGGCCTACAGTTTAAGTGGAGACGAGAGGGGGGTTGTGCCTCATTTGTAGTTCACACAGGACACAAGTGTGTGTCTGGTGTAAGGCAACATGGGTTAGAGCAGTGGTGTGCAACCTTTTTTGATCTGCGACCTCTGCGCCGCAGGAGCTGCCAACCAGCCGGCCAGATCTAAGTATCGCGCCCAGCCCCCGGTTGGCCGGATCTAAGTGCCGTGACCCCCTGGGAAGACAACTGTGACCCCCTTGGAGGTCGTGACCTACGGGTTGCACACCACTGGGTTAGAGTACTTCAAGTGGTTATAAGTTTCACGGGCACAGTTGCCAGGGCTCATATGTACCATAAGCCGCCACCAACAGATCTTCCTGAAGTGAGATGTTACATGCACCCCTGCCCTTCCTGAGTGTGCTCAGGGGCCTGTTGCTTTCCATATGATGCAGTGGTCTTTCTGGCCCTAAGCACCATGAATCTGTGAAGTGTGGTGCAGAGATTACCTGGTGCCATGCTCTGTTGGCAGGTGATGCTGGAGCAGATGCAGGGTGTGGTGCGCCTGGAGCTCTCCGGCTGCAATGACTTCACAGAAGCGGGCCTGTGGTCAAGCCTGAATGCTCGTATCACCTCCTTGAGCATCAGCGACTGCATCAATGTGGCTGATGATGCCATCGCTGCCATCTCCCAGCTGCTGCCCAACCTGACGGAGCTCAACCTGCAGGCCTACCATGTGACGGACACGGCCTTGGCCTACTTCACTGCCAAGCAGGGCTACACCACCCACACTCTGCGCCTCAGCTCCTGCTGGGAGATCACCAACCATGGGGTAGTCAATATGGTGCACAGCTTGCCCAACCTGAGCGTGTTGAGCCTCTCTGGCTGTTCCAAGGTAACTGATGATGGGGTGGAGCTGGTGGCTGAGAACCTGCGGAAGTTGAGGAGCTTAGATTTGTCATGGTGCCCTCGGATCACGGACATGGCTCTGGAGTATATTGCCTGTGATCTGCATAAACTGGAGGAGCTCGTACTTGACAGGTAGGTGGGCAACTGAATCCTTTGCGGGATCCCTCCAGAGAGGGGACATCTAGAAGCTTAAATAACCCCTGCCTGGTGAGCTGAGACAGGAGCAGCTGGGAGCACAACTAGCATTGCTGTCCATTCCCTATAGGGCTTGCTGCTGGGAGGGGCTGGGGTTATAATAGCTGTGTCATCTCACCAATAGTACTCCCTGATGGGAGAAGTGAGGACAGGACAGCTCCAGCTCCAGCTCCATTCTTTAGAGCACTTGGTGCTGGGAGAGACTGGCAGTGGAGTAGCAGCAAGCTACTCCACACACAGGCTGCGTCTAGACTGGCATGATTTTGCACAAATACTTTTAACGGAAAAGTTTTCCATTAAAAGTATTTGCGCAAAAGAGCGTCTATACTGGCATGTGCCTTTGCGCAAAAGATTTGCTTTTGCGCAAAAGCATCCGTGCCAGTGTAGATGCTCTCTTGTGCAAGAAATTAACGTTGCTGTCTACACTGGCCCTCGTGCGCAAGAACCACTGATTTTGTACATTACAAAGTCAGTGTTCTTGCGCAAATACTCGCGGCCAGTGTAGACAGGTGGCAAAATCATGCCAGTCTAGACGCAGCCACACTGTTTAGCAGCAAAAATTGTTGGGAGAAATTACCAATCAACAGCTGTGGATCAAAAATGCTTGTGTGCTCCCTTGTCACATTGTGCACCATGTCACTGCTGCGTTTGGGTCATGATATCCCTCAGTCCCCACCTGAGGGTAAAGGTGGCATATTAAAAGCATTTGGAAAATTAGGAACCGAAACTGGCATTAAGGTTCCAAACATGTTTTTTTCTCAAAATGGAACAGCCTTCCTCCTAGTCAATATATGAAATGGAAAGAAAGGGTAAATAGAAGTTGGTGAGAGGGGGAACAGAGAGAGAAGGAAAGGACAGGGTGATATTGTTGCCATCATTTCAGGGACATACATCCTGCTTTTTGCCCTAAGGCCTTTATACATGATTGGAGATGGACCTGAAGCAAATTCCCAGATCCAAGCTCTTGCTTTCCTCCCACAATTTTTGGGAAATTTGGACCAGAACTGTGCCCCACACAAACATAAAGGCGCAATCCTAACTTCTCTGACCCTCTTCTGGAGCCAGCAGACCTGGATTAGGAAGCTCAAAAAGAGCACAGACTTTTTCCCTAGCTCTCAGACCAGACCACAGATATTCCACAGGCCTTCCTGCTAGTGTTCCTGTGCATCAGTTCATGCCAATGCAAAAAGCATGATGAAAAAGCAATGGGATGTGGAGGGGGAAAATGAACTAAATTTGCTGAACTTCCTAGGAAAAATTTAGCTGGAGTTATTTGTTTGCAGGGTTTGCATCTGCTCTGCCTCCACTGATCTGTTTCTGCTAAACAGATTGTGCAACATGCTGAGAGCGGTGTCTTGAATAATATTGTCAGCCCCATTGATCCTTGAAGCCCACAGGCCAGATCCACAGCTGCTGTAAGTTATTAGAGCACTGTTCAGTGGAATCATGTTAATTTACAGCAGCTGAAAACCTGGCTTTGAAATTGCTACAGTGCTGGATGCCAGCACAGCTAAACGTGGCTACCAAGCTCCTTCCTCCCTGCTCTTCCAACCTCCCTCTTATGGCATGTCAGAAGTCTCCAGCAGGCAGCTTGCTGCATGCTCCTTTTCCATCCCACCTATCCTGCCAGCATCTTCTGCAGGCACCATCTTCACCATTCCTACCCCTCACTATCTCTGCTGTTCTGAGCCACTCGTCCTCTGTTACTTTCTTGTGTGACAAAGGGGAAAAGGTGGCAGGTCTCCTAGGCAGGAAGGAGGTCCCTGCTGGGGAGTGAAAGCAGGATGGTTTAAGAATGGCCCTGTGCTGAAGGCCTGACCTGATGTGATTTCCTCCTCCCACTAGCCAGGGGACCCTCTTGCATAGAGCTGCATGGTGACGTTCCCTGGAAACTTCTTCCTTAAGTGAAGAAATGGGCCAGTCCTGAAGACAGAAAATACCTCGTGTCAGTCTCAAAGAATTTCCTATTGAATGGAAGGCTTCTAGAAGCTCATCTCCAAAGGGAGGTGAAGGTGACAGTGGGCTCAGAAGAGTGTGTTGGCCAGTAAATATAGTGGAAGGAAGCTCAAGTAAAGAATGCTGGAGTATCATAGAAGCTTAGGCTTGGAAGAGACCTGAGAAGATCACATAGTCCAACCTCCTGCTCAAAGCCAATTAAATTATTCCAGTCAGTGCTTTATCATGCCTGGCTGTAAAAATCTCTAGGGGTGGAAATTTCACCACTTACATAAGTAACCCATTGCAGCGCTTCTCCACTCTTCTAGTGAAATAGATTTTCCTAATATCCAACCTAGGCCTCCCCTACTGCAACTTGAGACTATTGCTCTGTGTTCTGTCATAGGCCATGGGTACTGCAAAGTGCCCCCTGCTACTGGGTGTGGCACTACTGGCACTTGCTGCCTTCATTTCTTGCTTCAACAGGAGTCTCCTCATCTCTCCACATAATGGTCTGTGCTGGGGATGTACCTTAACTCTCTGGTCAAGACCCAGACAAACTTAACCCCTCCCAAGAGAGCAGACATCCAAAAAAAAATCCCAACAGACAAAAAGTTCTCTCTTCAGCCTACCCTCTGAGTGACTTTTGAGAGTTTTTCTGGCTATGGGAGAGAGCACTGGGAATCCAGGCCAGCTCCCTTGGAGTATCATTCTTGGTCCCTGGCTCAAGCGACCCCAGTGCGCTCCCTAGGGCTTCAGCTACCAGACTCAGGTCTCTTAGTCCTTTCATAAGGCCAAGCTGTCCCTGAAGCTATCACCTGATTGTTCATAGTTCCTGCCAAATCAGGCTGAGAAGCAGCTAATTGTGACACAGACATGCGTGGCGTCATCTTTCTTTAAAGGCACCAGTCATCCTGCAACAAAAAGCACCTGCCTTGGTTGCCTGCTCTGAACTGAATTGGGGCACAGAGTTTCTTCAGGTCTGATCCTCAGCTGGTGTAACCTGGCATGTACCAGTAACAATAGTGAGCTTTTCTGACTTTACCTAAGGCCACCAAACAGTCTTCAGATGATAGTGACTCTCAGTAATCTGACCTGTGTTGTGGATGGTGTGAGTGAGAGGCAAAAGACTCATTAAGCCTTCCACTGCTTTAAAGCAGAGGATAGGGGTGTGGGAGGTGAAGGAAGAGGAAGAAGTACAAGACACTGAAGGTGTCTGAGGCTGAAGGCCTTGCTGTGAGCTAGGCATTAGAACACATAAGGACGTCTGTTCCCCACCATATGCCTGCATATCTGAAAGCCACTGGGGAGTGTCTATTCCATTTGTCTGCCGCCTCCCCTCTTGCTTAGCAACAGAGAAGAGCCAATTCAAGGCATATGAATTGTTTGGCGGAGTTGTTAGGATTCCACTTTCCTTCCCTTTTGGCATCTTTCATGTGACACTGTGCTTCTGTCTACAGGTGTGTGCGGATTACAGACACTGGACTCAGTTACTTATCCACCATGTCATCTATTAGGAGCCTGTATCTCCGCTGGTGCTGTCAGGTTGGTGAACAGAGAAGGATAATGCAAGCCATGCTCCTTTCTAGGGCTAGATCTCCGTTGAGGCATTTCCTCAGAAGGGACCAACTAGCCCACTGGAACAAGTTCCTATATTAAATCTTCCCTTCCTCAGCTTTCTCTCTGCAATGGCTGCCTCAGTTACTGTGCTTTGAGATCAATGGATGAAACATGCTGTGTCAATGATAAGTAACATGATTTTGCCCAGGAGCACTATCATCATCAAGTGTAGATAAAGCTTTCCAAAAAACATCTCCAGGGGATGCATGTGACACTTGTAGAATACATAGCATTTGATCCAAAGCAAAATGGCTCATTGCAATTATATGCTTGCTATGTTAGCAAGTACTGGTGACTATTGGTTAGAGCAGTGAAGTGTGTGTCAGGGGATCTGTGTGTCAGGGGCAGTGTTCCTGCTAAGATTTTCCAACCATGAGCAGAGTGAGTTTTGGCTTGTGTACCAATATTGCGGCCATGTGCGCTGGTTTGGATGTGTGCCACTGCAGCACCCAATTTATTAACACACAGATGGTCCTTGCCACTGGAGCAGAACCGCCCCCCCCCCCCATGAAGCATATCCTGTTCCCAGCTGCTGGAGCGGGATCCCCCTCCCCCCACCATTTGTCAGGTCCCATTCCCTGCCACTGGAGCAGACCTCCCCCTCCCTGCCATACAGAAGATTCCATTCCCAGCCCCAGGTGCCAGAACAGGCCCCAGCCTCCCCCACCATTGTCACATGGTAGCATCAACCATGGGAGCAGGCTTCGCCCCCCCTGCCAATGGCTGTGGTAGGTTCCAGCTCCCCATTCCAGTGGCTCCCTCACCATGCCATCTCCGCTGGCCCCACCTGCAGGAGCAGCCACCTGCTCTCCAGATGAGGTGGGTGGGGGAAGAATTTCTTGTGCACAGCCATGCAGGCGTGCACATTAGTGGGAACCATGGTCTGGGGTGTATCTCAGCTCTGACTTTGGTCAAGACATAAAATCTCTGTATGCCTCATTTTCCCCTTCACCCAATGGAAAGAGGAGGCAGAATTATTTCGTTTGTGCAAAGTGTTTAGAGATCTTCCAATGAAAGCTGCTAGTAAAAAGCAAAGTAGAGTTCGTTCATTTTAGTGCTGTATTGACAGTCCAGGATAATTTCCTCACTCTTCTGTTATTTTAGGTGCAAGACTTTGGCCTGAAGCATCTCCTGGGCATGAGAAGCTTGCGCCTGTTGTCTCTTGCTGGTGAGATCCAAACACTGGTTTATTCTGGAGATGATAGAATGGTTTCTGAAGAGGGAGAAGTATCAGCCTGGGGACAGGGCCACGGCACAAGAGATAGTCCTGGCCATTTCAGTTTCATGAATCACCACTAGAGTGTCATGGGAGAATGTTGCTGAGTGATGACCCAATGGTGGACTGGCAGGATGCTATTCCAGCCTGGAATTATGCTTAGGCTTTGTCTACACTGCAGGATTTTTGCACAAGAAGCTTTTTGCAAAAGAGTTCCTCCACAAAAACTTCTTGCGCAAAAGCATGTCCATACCTTGAAAGCACATCACAAAAGCAATGTGCTTTTGCGCAAGAGGGTGTCCACACTGCATGGCCACTCAGAATGGCCATCAGAGCACCTGTGCTTTTTCTGATAGGCTCGTTTTCCTCAAGAAACCTCTGCGGAGCGTCCACACATGCCTTTTGCGCAAGAGCTGTAGCGCAAAAATGAGTTATTCCTCATGGGAAAAGGAATAACTCTACTGGTGAAAGCCCTCTGTCCTGTCGATTTATTGTATTTTTTTTATTGTGCAAAAACGCACTTGAGGTATGGACGCTCCACTGGTTTTCTAGTGATGGATGGCAGAAAAAGGACTTGAGGTGTGGATGCTCTGCCGGTTACCTTGTAGTGTAGACATAGCCTTAGTGGAAGGTAAAATTGGCCAGTGAAAAGTAATTGCAGGAGACAGATTAGGAGAAGGCCCAACCATCTGCTTTCTCTGTTGAGGAAAGTGTCAAAGTCAGACAGGACTCACAGATTTGTCAGACCGCTCTGTTTTATTAGCAAAGCTCTGCTAAATTAACCCAGAAAATGTGAGCCCCATACAAAGTTCAAACCCCTTGATTAATACAGTCAAAAGAAAGCCAAGTTAAAAGGAGGGGCAAAACTTCACATGATTAGTGTGAGACTTAGTCAAGTATCTTCATTTCAACATCAAGCACACAGCAATCTCCTGTCCATATTTCCCTGGTTATTTCAATTGCTTTCTGCTTAACACTTAATGTTCCTTTTCCTGTTAACTCAGGTCCACCTGGCTAGCACTCTGATCTGCATACCTACAAACAACATTAACATACTTTTCTTCTTCCTCTTAAAAGACAAACAGTATTCCTTCAACTTATTCAATTATTACAGCACAATTCATCTTTCTCTTACAGTATAATTCTTTCTACTTTCACAAAAGGAAGCAGTGGAAGAAGCCAATCCAGACAGCTAGAGGATTTCCTTCACCCAGATATTCCATGCTGTCACCTTACTGGCTGTGTCAATTACCATCATCCCTCTTGCTTTCTCCAATGTCCCCTGGAGGCCTCAAGCTAGAGCCCATAGAATCATAAAATCCTAGAGCTGGAAGAGACCTCAGGATGTCATTGAGTCCAGTCCCCTACGCAAAGCAGGACCAACCCTAACTAAATCATCCCAGCCAGGGCTTTGTCAAGCCGGGACTTAAAAACCCCTAGGGATGGAGATTCCACCACCTCCCTAGGGAACCCATTCCAGTGCTTCACCACCCTCCTAGTGAAATAGTTTTTCCTAGGCCTCCCGCACTGTAACTTGAGACCATTACTCCTTTTTCTGCCATCCGTCTCTACTGAGAACAGCCTCTTTTTCTTTGGAACCTCCCTTCAGGAAGTTGAAGGCTGTCATCAAATCCCTCTGACTCTTCTCTTCTGCAGACTAAGTAAGCCCCATCTCCCATTCTGGACAGCAGCACTCCCAACTTTTCTCTGAACTCATGGACCCTGGCTGTCAGAAGTGCAGACTGATGCACTTCTGATGATAGGTGAAAAAGTGCTCAACACTTCTGAAAATCAGACTCTCGGGGACAAATTCCATGCTATGATCTGCACAACTGCCCTTTGCTACAGTTCATGACAGCGTCACACAGGGCTGAGCCACCAGCTTTCTAGGCAGCTTGAATCAGAGTCCTGTTTCTTCAAAAGAATTCTGAGTTGCCTGGAAGTGTTTGACTAGAATGGAGGCACCAATGTGAATTAACAGTGTTTGCCATGCTCCATCACTGGCCTTTTCCTTCACTGACATGTTACACTGATGGATGTCAGAAGTGTTGAGCACATGCACATGCCTGAGCAGACCCATCCCATAGATTCTAAAGATTCTCATTGGCCATAAATCAATAGGATTGGAAAGGCCCCCAAGAAGTCACTTAGTCCACCCACCCAGTAACCCACTGGTACAGCCTTGTGTAAGCTTGTTCCCCCCATAGTGAGTGTCATGTGAACGTGACATTTTTGGTGTCAACACCACGATGCAGTGACCTGCCCTCCCATCTATTTAAGGGTTATGTCATTTGAGCCCTTTTAATGGATTTCTATCCTCATTTGCTCTGCTGTGCTACCAGAGATACCACTCAAACCTGCCCAGGACCCAGATATGGAGGACAGCATAAGTTAAAGACTCACATTGATATAATGGTGTTCAGAATCTAGGGAAGACCTCAGGTCAGTTTCTTCGGCACAACAATATGTGTTTACATCTCACATTCATGAGTCAGCTTTTCTAAATCAGTTACATTGTAACCATTGTGTGAGGTCAGCTCACCTGTTTAGGGTGAGATGATGGTAGATTTGGGTCTAAAAGGAGGACTGGCTGCCATCAAGAGGGCACTTGCAAGTTATGATCATGGAACTATTGTTATGCTCGTAGCAGAGCTAGTCATATTCCATGGGCTATGTCTACACTGCACATTGTTGCACAAGAAGATATGCAAATGAGGTGCAGCAATGAATATCGCTGTACCTCATTTGCATACCTAATGAGGAGCCATTTTTGCGGAAGGGGCTTTTGCGCAAGAAGGAGCTGTCTCCACTGTCTCCACTGCTCCTTCTTGTGCAAAAACTCCCTCTTGCGCAGGCACCGTTCTTCCTGAAGATAAGCGGCAGAACGGCTCCTGCACAAGAGTTTCTGTGCAAGAAAGAGCAATGTAGACAGCTCCTTCTTGTGCAAAAGCCCCTTCTGTAAAAATGGTGGCTCATTAGGTATGCAAATGAGGCACAGCGATTTTCATCGCCACACCTCATTTGCAACAATGCGCAGTGTAGACATAGCCCATGGTTCTTACTATTTCCTCTGCTCGTTTCTGTAAGAAAAACGTGTTTCCCACCGAAGCAAGGTAGCAGCAGCACTTCTGAGCATCACTCAAACCTGATGACTGGATCAAAAAATAGCACCAATAGTTTTCTGTTAGTCACTTTATGTTTACTGGCTTTCTAAATGAGGCTTGAGGACAAATGGTATTTGTGCTATTTACAGTGAAGTAAATCAGGAATGATTCCTTTAATGTTCTCAAAATGATGCTAGAACAATGGAGATCAGATCCAGGCCTTGTGTCCTGTAGTGGACGGATGCAGTGCTGCTGTGGATTGGTCCTGCTCCCTGTAGATAGAAGAGTATGCTACAGCAGCTCTCCCCATCTCCAGAGATCCAGGTGGTCTCCCCCCACAGATATTTCTGCTGTTTTAGGGTATTTCTACACTAAAAAAAAAGACCTGCAATATCATTTCTCAACATCTGGGTCAGATAACTTGGGCTCACAGGGCTTAACGCTGTGGGGCTAAAAATAGTTAAATATATGTTCAAGCTCAGTCTGGAGGGTCTGAAACCCGACAGGGGTGGAGGATCTTGAAGTCCAGACACTATCCCTAGTCCAAATATCCACACTGCTATTTTTAGCTGTGTAGTACAAGCCCTGCAAGCCCAAATCCAATGACCCGAACTCTGGGACTCACTGCTGTGAGGTTTTTTTGCAGTTAAGTTAAAGACCAGAAAGAACCAACAGATCATCTTGTCCCACCCTCCAGTCATTCATAGGCCACCAATGCCCTCTAGTATCCTCACACCAATTACAGCAATCAGCATTATATCAAATCATTGGAGCCCTCAGGAGACCAAACTATAGTGTGCCAAGTCAGAGAATAGGAGAGACTGAGGTTCACCAGTGCCTGAAGTCCCTGTGATAGCAGGAAATTTATTTAGAGAGATACTCCGAGATGACTGTAGCAAGTGACAGGGCCAACATGTAAGGGACAAGTGATGGAGCCTGGTGGCATTGTTCTCTATTTTGCAGCCGGTATTTAGAGATATGTTAGACTGATAGCTAGCCAACCCCCTTCCCCACATAGAGGGATGGCTAAGTTCTTCCATGTCTACCTCAGATGGTAGTACACCATAGTACCTTGCTCACTGGGTATTTTCACCTTCTGGTTTCAGGCTGCCCTTTGCTGACAACCACTGGGCTCTCAGGTCTTGTCCAACTTCAAGACCTAGAGGAGCTGGAGCTGACCAATTGTCCTGGTGCCACTCCGGAGTTGTTCAAGTATTTCTCCCAGCACCTGCCAGGCTGCATGGTGATCGAATAAGCAGTCTCAAGGATTGGCCAACCTTCGCTCCCAATCCAGCACTGATCAACTAACCGGAGTTATCATTTTGTGTTTCTTTTGTTATGTTTGGGGAGAGATGCTTACCATGCTGTTGATTTAAACCACTCACCGTGTATACAGCAATCAAGAATTAATTAATCACATCAATGCATTGGATGAAGACACCTAGAGAGAGAGATATTTGCTATCTCCATAACAATGGGCATCTGTCTGTTCCTTAAGATGTGACCTTCATGCAAGAATATCTCTGCAAAATTTGTAAATTTTCCACGCCTTCATCACCTCTCGGCTTTTTTGTAATGGTCTGTCCTGAAAAAACAATTAATTTAAAAGATACGGCCAAACAAAACTCAACAAAATCAGAGCAAATGAAACAAAGTAAATGAATGATCATGAATGGAGAGCTGAGACAGAATGACACTGTTTCATGGCCCAAAAGGTGTTCCTTTTTGTGCTGGACCCCCAGATGTGGCTTTTGCCCAAGGTCTTGTGTCACAGCAGTTAGAAGTTCCTTCTGACTGCCTTCTGGGTGGGATTGGTGTTGTGTCTGGGGGAGAAGCCCAATTGGAGACCCTCTCCATTCTGGGTTCTGGATGATCAAACCCAGTGTTTCCATAGCATCTGAACCAGAAAGCTAAAAGAATCCTGACGGACAGAGAGACTTGAAGAAGAAGAAAGAATGGAATACAGAGACGTTTAAAAAAATAAATCGACCAATGCTGTGAAAGAGAAGCACGGGGCCCATTCCGAGGCTTTTGGCAGGCCAGGTGCCTTCTGGTATGTTGACCGTGATTGTCTTGTCTTCATTGAAAGCATGGATCTGTGAGCAAATTTCTTGATACTAACAAAACCCAGCTCCCCACCCAGTCCTCTGAAAACTCAATCTCCCCATGGTCCAGTGATCTGAGACGGACGGTCACCTTCTGCCATTTTCATTTTGTTAATAAGATGTTCTTCTCAGAACAGCCTGCAGCCTTCGCATGCTAGCTTGCTTCAGTCTTGTGGTAAGGTAGGTTCTGGAATGCGCAGGGCTGGGAGGGCCTATGGGGCAGCCCTCTGCCGAGCTCCATTTCTCTTCCAGTGTGAAGCTGGTGTGGCTTTGTATCCAATCCACATATGGTTATTGGAGTATAGGTTTAATGTGAGAGCTGGGAAACTAGAGCAGCTCCCTCTTCCTTCAGCTATCTCCCTTCTCAAGCTGCAGCCTGGAAGAGTGGAAAGAAAGCTGTGGTGTCCTGCTGTGCTTGATGTGTAGCAGCATCTTTCCCCAGGACCAGCTTGAGGCCAGCTCAGTTCTAGGATAGAGGCAAGGGCAGGCTTGCAGCACATCAGTCAGACTGGCCTGCGATCCTACTAGGGTAGTGGGCCCCAAACTGTGTTGCATGCCCACAGGGGGGTACATAGCCATTCAGCCTAACTCTTGTCCCAAGCTCAGCTCTCGCCCTGCTCAGCATCCAGCCCCAGCTGCAGCCTCTGGCCCCAGCTTAGATTTGCCAGGTTATGGGAAGGTTGTGGAAAGGAAGAGAAGCAGGTGCTGCTGGAGTCAGGAGGAGCACTCAGAAACTGCTCCAGCCAAGAGGGACAAGCAGCTTTCCCATCCTATCCCACTTAAGCCGCCACCCCGTGGAACACAACTCCCCCTCCCCCTCCCAGTCCAACCCAAAGTCCTGGCTCCCCACCTGTTCCCTGGGCACAGCTCCCCCACTCCCAGCCCTCCCCACTCACCCCCTATCCCTGGAGCATGGTTCCCCTACTTTGCCCTCTGCCCCTGTGAAATGGCTCTCCCTCTGCCATCCCGCCCCACTCACTCACCCACCCAATGGGGAGCTTGGACTGGGTAAGGGGAGGATGTGACCAAAAAAATGTGGGGACCACTGTATTAGGGTGACCACCTTTTCAAAATGTAAAAATGGAATCCATGCATGAGTCCCCACGCTCCTCTTCCTCCTAGGCAGGCCAGAAGCCAGAGCCGGGCAGAACTGAGGCTGCTGTGGGGAGCCCAGGACCCTCCAACTGCCCTGGGTCAGGGACCAGGGTGCCCAAGAACAGCCCCTGGGCTGGGTCTCCACCCCTCTGGGGCATGCAACAGGGCAGTTAAAGGGTTTAGGTCTCTTCACAGCATCCTGGACTCCCTCAGTGGCTATTACCACTGATCATCCTGGACACTGCAGAGTGGGGAGGAGGAGCAGGAGCAGGGCCTTCTGATGGGGTGAACCTAAGGCCTGTCTCAGCAGCTCTTCCAGCCCCTGGCTAGTGCTGCCTCAGCTTCAGGCAAGGATGGAGCAGCACTACTGGGAATCCAGGACAGATGATGTCCCAGAGCCATTCAGCCCAGTACTAGGGCTTGAACTCTGCATTTCAGGGCTGTCTTGTTCAATTCTGGGCAGTGGGTCACCCTAGATCCTGACTGTTCCCTTCTTGCTACTTTTTCCTCCAGACCGACTCTAAGAGGCAGGCTTTCCCAGGCAGCTCCTACTTTGACCTGCTGCTGGGCCTTGACTCCAAGGAACCCTTTACATCTCACTATGGCAGACAATAGCAGCAGAGTCTGCTTATTTCCTTCTCCATCAGGAGGTGGCCATGGCCCTAGCATCTAAGCAGCCCCTGGTTACTTAGAAAGCATCCCTTGTGCTGCAGTTAGTGGGGGCAGCGGGCCTGAGACATGAGCTGTACTGTCCACAGCCCAAACCAGTTCTCAGCAGCTGGGCTCTTTAGACTTCTGGGTAATCTCTGTATGTTTGGCTTGTTTGGGCAGTGAGGAGAGAGCCCATCACTGCTCCTTCCCATGCCAGTGCATTTCTGCTCCATGTTCTGTTTTCAGGGAGGCTGAAGGAAGCCCATGCCCGACTCCATATACGCGCACTCATCCCATCCCATAAGCACTGCCAAGAGACTGAGGCTAGGTCTACTCTACACTATAGTCTTTTTTTTTTTGAAAAAGCTGTGTAAATAGCGCTCCGCAATTTGCATAGCTTTTTCCGATTGCTTTCCGGAATAGGCTCTTCTGCCATTTGGCCCCAACGGGCCAGGTATACATAGAACAAGGTATACAGGGCTCCCTGAAAGAGCACGTTTGCTCTTAAGCAGAAGAGTAAACACGTTCCCTGGACGCGGCGGAATTTTTCCAGGATACCGAAAACCCCGCAGTCTAGACCCTGAGCTTACTGCTTTGAGGAAATGTCATCCCTCCCTGCTCAGTCACTGTTTGCCTACCCTCCCTTCTCCTCCAGGAACCAAGCTGGGTGGAGCTTCAGGGCTAGAGAGAGGAGCAGGTTGCTTCCTAGGATTGGGAGAGGAAGCCTGGGATGAAGAGATTGGGATTCTGTAGGGAAGGCATCAGGAGGGTCACTCCTTCATATCTTGAGGCTGGATTGCAGTCTGTGGGTACCTTGACAGTCTCCTGTCCCATTGCGATCAGCCAGAGTGCATCCAGCTCCTGTGGTGTGGGAAAGGGAGTCTGCAATGCAGGAGAAGAGGCCCAGGACCTAACATCACTATAGCTCATCCGGCATCAAAAACCATCTCCCAGACTCTGTGTCTCATCTCACAAGTCCTCCCAGAAGCATCAGTACTTTCTACACTGCCTGCTTTATCCCTGACCTCAGCCAGGGACTGGTCCTAAGGGAAAGTTGCTGACAGGGCTATCCTTAGGGGGGCCTGGGACAACACCCCTGCCACAGGTTCCACCCCCACCTTGCCCCACTCCTGTCCTTCCCCACTTGTGTCTCACTCCTTCCCATGTGCAACACAAGCTTTGGGATTACTGGAGCATCGGGTGGAGAGGGGTTGTCCCACCTCTTACACTCACCACAGCAGCAGGAGCCCGAGAGGCCCAGCAGTCTGCTCTGCTCTGCCCCACCACCTTCTCCTGAGTTGCTGTGCTCGGCTTCTCTATGCCAGCAGGAAGTGGAGTGCCCTGGGGCCCAGGCACTGTGCTTCTTTGCAACACAAGCTTTGGGATTACTGGAGCATCGGGTGGAGAGGGGTTGTCCCACCTCTTACACTCACCACAGCAGCAGGAGCCCGAGAGGCCCAGCAGTCTGCTCTGCTCTGCCCCACCACCTTCTCCTGAGTTGCTGTGCTCGGCTTCTCTATGCCAGCAGGAAGTGGAGTGCCCTGGGGCCCAGGCACTGTGCTTCTTGCTGCTGCAGAGAAGCAAAGTACAGCAGGTCAGGAGAGGGTGGCAAAGTGGAGTGCACCAGGGCTGCTGGGGCCAGCTTCTACCTCCACAGTGAGTGTGAGGCAGGGGAAGGTGACCCCTGCTGCCGCCCCGTGCCAGGCCCCCGGGTCATCCCGTGGGTCCTGTCCATAGGACAGTTGCGGCAGCTGCTGTGGGGGCCCAAAAGCACAAGGCCTGGGGCATTTGCCCTGAACCAACTCATGGATGGGACAGCTCTGGGTGCTGAGCATAGCAATTAGAAGGTTCCTATAGTGAAACGCCATCAATCCTAATCTCTATAGCCCTGCAGATCCACAGATATCTGCTTCATATCCCCAGGTATCCTCATCTGTGGCTCATTTTTGTGATACAGGGCTGTCAGGACCAGGCTCACTGTAGGAGGCAATGCACAGCCTAAGCAAGGAAGGAGTGACTTGCATTGCTCAGCAGCAATCTGCCCATTTCCTGTTGTATTACGTGGACATGGCACTTTGCAAATCAGACCTTGTTCCTCCCAAGGCCCTTTTAGGCTAGGAGTTAATAGACACCCTGGTTTTAGAATGGGGCAGTAGATAACAGCTGCTGATTAGCTGAAACCAGTGTTGGCAGGGCTTGTCATGGGATCTTTTTTACCAGCTGGGATTGGTGCCCTTGGACTCTGTGACATCCAGTGCCACTCCCAACATGCACTGCAGCAGGCAGGGCATCCAGGATCCTAAACCTCTTGGCTTTCTCATGTGCTGAACACAGACTGTGCTGCATGAGATACAGCAGGGACCTCCTGGCTAATGGCATAAGTAAGTTCCAGAAGTCCATGGTGTCAGAAAAGGTAAGGGCTCCCCTTCCCAAGTCTGAAATCTGCCTTCTCCAGCTCCTCCACAGGCCCAGTACACCCCCTTGTGCACTAGCTCTCCCTTAACCCCAATCCAGCCCCAGGTCCCTCATGTCCCCCTAGAGACTCCCAGCTCCCTCCATAGTACCCCTCATTACTCTCCAGGCTGATGCAGTTCCCATAGCTTTTCCCAACCTTCTTCCAGACTGCTTCATTCCAGCCCTCAGTTCCCCCAGTGCTGATCCAATGACTTCTCCAGGCCCTTTTAGTTTCCCCGCCACTCCACTTTGTTTCAAGCCCCTGCCCCCACCCAGTTTCCCTCTTGGTTCCCTCCAGCTCTGTTCCAAACCCCTTCCATCCTCCCATCTCTGAGCCATACATCCCAGGCTCCATTCTGACTCATTCCCCCTTCAACAATTCCAATCCAGCCCACACCTCCACCCAGTTCCTACCTAGCCCCTCTAGTTTCCCCACCTTCCCAGCCCTATGCAAAGCAGCTGATGCTTTTACCCTGTTGAGCATGTGGAGTGGGGCAGTGTACTCCCCTTCCATCTCTCACATGTCTCCCACACTCTCCCCCAGCATCTTCTTTAGATGCAGTCCCATAACCTTTTGGGGCACAACTGCACCACATGCACTATTGTAATTCCTCCACTGTTCTGCAGGTGGCCCTAAAAATGTAAGAAAACTA